GCTGCTGCTGCTGCTGCTGCTGCTGCTGAATGCATTTCTTTCGTGATGTTACTCACCGTCGTACTATTTATCTCTGCTTGGGTCCTTCTGTTGGCCTATTCTTGTCTTCCTCTTCAAAACACGGTGTACCTGGGTTTAGTTCCGCAGAAACAGGAGAAGAGAAGCAACGGAAAACGCATAAAAAAGAAAGAAAGAAAAAAAAAAACGAACAAAGTGTACAGTCGCACTTGCCAGGCCTATTATGGGCAACAATTCCCCTTTTCTACCTGTTTTTTTTTTCTTCTTGGCTGTGAAGTCTGTCCCCAACCCGCCAGAGGTGCGGTACAGAACAGTCCATACAGCAGACACACACACACACATTTACACACGGAAAGACACAAGGCCGCGTGAGGGGCACACCGTCGAGAGAAAGGTAAAAGAAAAAGAAAAGCAAAAAAGAAACGTGTTGTGGGAGAAGGGTTTAAATCGAAATAGAAAATCATCATGTAGAGTCATATGCGATAAGAACGGTCCAGGATTTCACTCACCACGCTCTGCTGCCGGTTTTGATCTTCCATCCAACGAGCGTTGATTCCAAACGACGCTGCACTCTGCTGCAACTCGAGCTTCAGCTGGTCAATCTCTTCCTGTTGCTGGAAGACTGATACGTTGTACTCTGTGCGTATCTTCTCTATGGTGCCGTCATCCTCCGTCACACCACTCATTCCTTCAGTGTCCTCCTTACTGACCTGCATCTGCAATCGCGCCAGCATGTCCTGCTTCTCTTGTATCTGGCTCAGTAGGCACGCCGCCTCTTCCTGCACCGATACAAACTGTCTGTTGGCATCCTTTCTCCCACCGTCTAACATTGGAACCGCAGTTGTCACCAACTCACCGTCCTCCGCGATGGCGCACTTCAACCGCTCAATGTCAGACTGCAGCTTCTTCAATTCATCAGAAGCTTGCGTCACGTCCGCTACCCACTCCGTCGTCTCCTCCGCACACACCGGTGGCAGCGGATGTCCCGTAGTGACGGACTTGATCTCATGGTTGGCGCCGAAGAACACTTGCGTCTCCGCCTCCATCATACGATGCCGATTCGCCTCATACTCTGCAAGCAGCACTTGAAGGGACGCCTCATGTGCCTTTTGCATCGCAACGCGCTCCTTTTCAAAAGCAATTTGATCAGGCGAGATACTCTGGATACGCGTTCTTGTTGTGTCGCATAATTCACGATAGGCAGCACCAAAGTACAGTCGCAGTTCGTGGTGAACGGCCTCTCGCGCGAGGGGTAGGCTCTGCGGCCCAACGGGAATGCCGGGGAAGGCCTCCAGCAGCCGCTCCACGCAGCGCTCCACAAAGCGGATCATTTTTGGCTGCACAAGAAACATCGCGTACTGCGCCTCAAAACCCGGGAGTCCGTAAGTGGGGAGAACATCCTCCGCGTGGGGGAGCACGAAGTGCGGCATATGCTGCATCTCTTCGTAAAAACGTGTGAGGAGCAGATCCGGCGCCAGGGAGGCGGTGGGGGCACCAGCACTTGTCTCGGAGGGACGCCTTAAGCGCAGCAAGGGGCTCCGCGTCGGGCAGCCCGTGGCGCCTCCGCCGTCCCTCGGCTCTTCCTCCCCGTCGTCGAACGCAGGCATCGACATGGGACGCAGGGGGGAACTAGGGTCCAACGGCGGGGGGATCTCGATGCGCTCACCAGCGGCGGAAATTCGCTTCCTTTCATACTTTGCAACATCCTGTATGCGCAACACAGAATCGCAGGATCGACAGGCCGGAAGGACCCGTTTGAAAGGAACCACCTTCATGACGCCTGTGACCAGCCCGTGTCTCTCTCGTTCTTGCTGCTGATGTTGTGGGACAGAAACGACAGGATCGACTACAGAAGGATCCTTCAGCTGTTCCTCCAATGACACCTTCATCTGTTGAAGGACAAGTTCTCCATTCTTTGGATCCGCGAACATGGTAATGATGCGAATCATCTGCAGGGCCACGGGTGCATTCCTGCAGTGAAAACGCATGACATACGCAAAAGGAGGGTATATTCCGGCCATGCAATCACCCGCTTCGTTACCACCAACATCACCACTGCCAGCCGCTGTGCCACTAGCACCCACCCGGCTTTGCTTCGTTACACTGCCTTTGCCGCCGCCGGCCTCGCAAAGATGCGTCAGAAGCAGCGGCTGCTTGCAGAAGATATACAAGTGCTGCATACCGTTCTCCACGTCACGCGAGATTTGAATGGTGATTTCGACACGTACCTTCTCAGTGTCCAGCATTGCACCAAGACACAGCAACGCAGCGTTAATGATGCGCCCGTCGCTGATGTCAAACAAATACAGTTGTCCGCTCTGCGCTATGACCAACGCACACGGCACCCATCCCCCATCAACGCCAACACTTTGAGCTGAGGCCGAGTACACGTCGAGGCGTGTCGCAAAGCACGGCCGAAGGGCGTAGGCGGTCTTCTTGTCCACCCGCAGCAGGTGCAGAAAGGTTGGGCTCAAGGAAATAATCTTTGGTACCATCTACTCCGCAACCCTTGGCTCAAAGAGAGTGCAAAGGAAGAGCAGGAATAAAACAAGCATGAGAAGCGACGGCGCTAAAACCGGTAGAAGAGGGCCAGGAGACCCTTACAGACTGCAAATGCAGTACACACACACACACACACAGAGACAGAGACACAGGCACAGGCACAGGCACAGACACACGTACAGAAGAGCGCCCGAGAAGAAAACTGTACAACTACGATACGGAAAGCAAACAAAAAAAACCAGTGTATGCACCTGAGTTGTATGGGTGGGTTTTTTTCTTGTTGCAACTCACAACAAGTCGTCAAAAAGGCCCTTCCTAAAACACCCTCGCTGCTCCGGGGTTGCCACAGATCCATCCTGAGCGGCAATCACAGGAGATGGAAGTTGATGTACTTCTTCGCGCTGCAGGTACTCTTGCCGCTGCCGAAGCTGCTCAGCGTTCGCTGCGATGCTCTCCTCCGCGTTTCGCTCTAATCGCCGCATCGCATCGCGCCAGTGCTGCAACATCTTTATCTCTTGATGCTGCTCCGAAATGATGTTGATGTATTGCCGCTGTACGCGCGCAGCCGCAGATGAGACAGCCATCTCCCTCCGCGAAGAACAACGTCGCGCCTCGTGCTCAGCTGAGGGCAATTTTAACTGTAACTGCTGCAACACTTGGCGGAGGTGCTTGAGCTGCTCCTTTTGCATCGACTCCGCGGGAGTGCGGAGTGCCGCCGCCTCAGTAGAGGTGAAACGCATATTTTGGGAGTCGTGATGCAAGAACAGGGAGGCGCACTTGACACGCGCCTCCTCGCGGCAGGCATAATACTGCTCCAGGAGGTTTTGGTACTCCGCCCTCTTCTCCTTGTGCTGCGCCCGCAGCGCCTCCGCCTGGCGCTGGTACGACGTCTGCCTCAACAGCCGCTGCTCTTCCTGGAGCTGCACCGCGAACTCCTGCCGCCGACTCTCCAGCTCCGCCTCGTAGACTGGCTGTTGCTGTTGACGATACGCTATAACAAGTTCGTTGATCTCTTGGCCGGAAGTATTTGCTTTCCCTTGTTTCGTCTGCTCCACGGCAGTATTGTACACCGTGTCAAATTCACCTTGCAGGAATGACAGAAATTCGCCAGATAAGCCTTGCATCTCCTCAGAGGAGAGTTGTCTCGCCGCCCACCCCTCATACTTTGTATTTTCCATTCCTGTTGCTGCCGTTGTCGTTGGTTCTGTTGTGCCCCCAGTGAGAGGCACCGGTGCCACCGCAACGCTAACAACCTCACTACGATTCAGTCTTGCCGTTCTGTCTGGATTCCCAGCAATACGCGGCGGCGTGGTGTGCTCCGGTGGCAAATGAAGCGGCAAATATGTCATGGAACCCGCCGACACTGTGGCGTCAACATCCCGCTCAACACTGCGGGCGTCTGTCCTCTCGTCCACGTTTTCCTCCGATACGTCTGGTGGCGCTTCGCCAGGGGGGAGAAGACCTCCCGGCATTCTGCACCTCTNACCACCGTTGACACTGAGGGGCGGAAGGCGAACCTCATAGAAGAAAAAACAAAAAAGAGACAAGGAAAAAAGAGAAACAAAAACAAAAACAAGACAACATAAGCGCCAAAAAAGCGAACGAACAGGCAGCAGAGGACTCTTGGGTCCAAGATCACCGTTCCCACCATCCAATAGCTATTAGCTCCCGTTGTGGCCGTATCACAAACCCATTTCTTCGCGCGATAAAACGGGGGAGAAAAGACAGCAAGCCTTAAATCAACCTGCTCACAATTACGAATGAAAGAACAAAATAAGAAACCACACACATACATATATAGATAAAGATATATATATATATATCAACAAGACACACACGCACGACACCCTCATCATTCCACCTTTCGTGTGAACTGAGTGGTGGAGGAATCTATATATGAGATGCGGCCCCTGCATGTCAAGCGTGAATCCTAGTTCCCTTCGAGTTTCTTGCAGAAGCCCTCGATGCCCTGCAGCACAAGCCGTTCCCCGGCGTTCGGCAACTGTCGCAGCTCGGCGACGGGGTTGCCCAGGAAGCCGATGTGCCCACCACTCGGCATCTCCACGTACACAACGTTGGAATTTATATTCGCCAGCTTCTCCCAGCGACGGATTTTCGGCGGCCTGCCGCAGATGGGATCGTCACGCGCAGTGATACACATAATGGGAGTCTGTGTCGTTTCCAGCGAAACGAAGCAGTCGGCGGCGCGGTAGTACTCTTCGGGTGAATTAAAACCGAAGTGTGGGGCAGTGATGCAGCGGTCAAACTCGACGATGGAACTAATCTGGTCGATGAGCGGGTGAGGTCCGCCAAACACCTTCTCGCCGTCAACGCCTGGCAGCTGCGCAAGGATGGCCCTGTGCCGCCTGCCGTACGAACACAGGCCCTTGAGCAAGGCGCCACGGTAGTAGGAGTGAGACATGCACTCGTCCGAGGAGTTGAGGTCAAACGGCGTCGTGAGGGCAAATGCCGCAGTGATATGGCTGTTCTCCTTCTTTGCACCCTGTTCCCCAAGGTGCTTGCAGAGTATAACGCCGCCCAGCGAGAAGCCCACCACGAACAGGGGCCTTGGCTGGTCTGACTGGAGCCGCTTCCGCACCTCAGCCGGGTTGAAGAGTGTCTTAATCACATGCCGCACGTCTGCGNAGGGGCCTTGGCTGGTCTGACTGGAGCCGCTTCCGCACCTCAGCCGGGTTGAAGAGTGTCTTAATCACATGCCGCACGTCTGCGGTGTACAGGGCGCTAAATATCTGAGGCTTTTCAAGAGGCGTATTACCGACCCCACGCGCATTCAATACTGCGACGTGGTAGCCCTTGTGGCAGAGCTCCGAAGCCATATGTTGCACGTAGGCTGCCCTAGAAGAGCTAGTAAGGCCGGGGAGGATTAGCACTAGGGCCTTTGCGTCCACATTTCCTGCTTCTGGTGTCAAACAGTCGACACAGAGCGGGTTGCCGTCTACCGCTGACAGCGTCTCGCGGCGGTACGCCACGCCAACGTGTGGGCGGAGGGCACCAAGGGAAGTGTGCACGTGCCCGCTGTACATGGGATCCTCATAGTACATGCACGGTTTCAAGTTGAATGTGTCGTAATTGGTGCGGTCACTGCGGCTACCCACCGCATGTATCAGACGTTCCTTTCGCGGCGCGAGTGTCAGCTCCTTCACGCCTATCATCCACTCAAGCGCGCAGATAGGCCAGCGGAAGAGCAAGTTGTACAGTGTCTCTGGCACGACGTACAGCAGGAGATGTGTCAGACTGTGGATGGTAAAGAACCAGATGCGGCTGTTTCCGGCTGCCATTTTGTGTGGTAAAGATATAACTGTTGTAGCAAAATGGACTGGTGATAATGATGATGCACTAGAGAATCACGAGGGAACTAAGTATCAAAGGGAAAAGTAGATCGATGGATGGACGGCACTGAAAGCAGCACAATGCGCATTGGGGTAAACACACACAGACGCACAAGCAGACACCGGCGGGGGTCCCCTCAAACGACATATCGCGCCCTCGCCGCTTCGGCAAGCACA